CTACAACAAAAAGTCTCTGCCACCTTGCAATGGCGCCGCAAAAACCAAGTCTGCCCTCGAAATTCAGGAAAGCGTAACAGACGCGACCGAAGTTAAATGGTTTTGTTATTGAACGAAGCAAAACTCAACTGCCTCCCTCTTCCTGCTCTTACTGTGCTGCTTGTATCAAGGAATTCCAAATTGCAACAATTACTGCATACAGAGATGCTCCTACTTTCGTACTCGATAGCTCAGTCGATATAGCTGCACGTCTGAGGGCAGGGGAGAGCGATGTTTCTCTTCTCCACAGCGTCCAGACCGGCTCTGGGGCCCACCCAGCCTCCTACGGGGGCTTGAAGCTGACCACTCACTTCCACCCAGTACCGAGGTCAAGAATGGTGGAGCTATTACCTTTTTTACATCGCAGAATATCAGCAGGGTGATCAAATCAAAGAGCGCGAACCGAGCAGGAAACGAGGCAAGCGTTGAAGGGGTGAAAGATTTGTACAGACTTTAGTCGTAAAACCTGAAGGGGGGGCAGTTTTTAGACCTAGACGTACACGGGAGGATAATATTAATATGGACTTGTCACACCAGTTGTCAAGTGGCTATAGACTAGATCTGGATTGGTAACTGCATTTAGTGAACACTCAGAGAACGAAACTACAAATAGCAATAGCACTATCACTAATTCACACTCTGCAGTTTACTACACTACTCAGTCTGCTGTATATTCACCAGTCGTTGTCTGGTGACGGCTTTCTACAGTCGACGTTCCCTTTACTGTGGGTTCCCGAACTATCCCCATGCCTCGCTACCAGCTTCTAACAGCAGCAACTCACGACTGAACTGCAGTTCGCTTGACTAACTCACCAATCAACTCTTGCACTGCACGGCACAAACTCCCAGGCTGGCGGCCATCTCACACCAACCTCCTCTTCTGATTGACTCACCTCAATTAACTAAAATCTATACCTGTCCTGTCTATAACCCCTTGGCACGGACCACGTAAAGAACACCGTTCCTCATTGTTGTATTTCAATTGTTGCTTGTTAGGAATCTGTTGCCTAGCAGCGGGCGTTGTTTACCGAGCCATTACTTAGCAACGGGTCTACATGCTACAATATACACCTACCCCATAACATAAAGCAATGGCGGCCTGTCATGGAAAGGATGATGTTTGCTTGGGTTCCAAACAAAAGGCTGAGAATTTTGTAATCGGCTGAGCGACAAGTAGCTTATCAAGAATAGCTGGACTGTGTGTGACTGTGATCCCATGTCATGCAATTAAGTGCGAATTTAAGTTATTCCGCAAAGGTTAGGGGTAGTTCAGTGCAACTCAAGTGGACCCTGAAACCGTGTGGTTCAAGGTAAGATTTGGGGGTTTCACGGCGGTGACTGCGAACAATGCCATCTTCTGAGATGTGGCACCGTGTAGATATTGTACATACCGACGTTTCGGAGGAACGTATCGCCTCCATCTTCAGAGTAGCAGAAAAATGAAGCAATCCGCGAGCGAAGAACCAGCGTGATCACTTAGTCTGCAGCCACATGCTCACGCTGGTTCTTCGCTCGCGGATTGTTTTTTTTTTCTTCTACCCTGAAGGCGATACGTTCCTCCGAAACATCGGTTTATCTACACGGCGCCACATCCCAGAAAACGGCATCCTTCACGTGGTTCAAGATTTCGGTCAAGTTGCAGGATACTGTGAGGTATTTGTTTTATTCTGTACTCACTCAGTTCAGTGATTGGGCTGTTAAGTTGGACGGCCAGGGAGTTGAGGTTCGATTCCCGTCAAGGGGCCAGACAGCCTCCCATCCCATCATATTGCTTCGATTGAAGAGCATAGGAAGCAGTACTGTGCGTTGTCTAATGTTTGTAGTATGTGGGTAAACGCGTTTGTTTCTCTTTGTTCCGTGCTGCTATGCAGTGACATAGACCGCTCTGTCACGTCACAGGATACTTTGGTCGGTGAGTCAGCCTCAAGGTCGGGCCGGTCGGTGATTTCATCGGAGCCAGTGACTCCTGTGGCTGCCGGCCACCAGTGCTCTTGCGCTCGCAACTTCCGCTTTCAATAACAATTGTACAGCCAATGTCATCGAGCCAGCTGTTGTGCACAGAATTATCCAAATAAGCTGCGACGTGTTTAATGATACGGTTTCACAAGCCACGGAGGACATTTGTGACGTACGTATGACGTCTGTAGAGGTGTAAATCATGTTACAAACACAGTTCCGTCATTATCTGAAAGCAGCCCACCTTTCTGGCTGTAAAGCCTCGCTACAGGTTGAGGTTCTGAAGCCCTGCGAGTCGCAGGAACCCCAGTGCCTGGGGGTATAACTGGGCCACCCTGTTCCTGGGGGATATATATACGGGCACCTGTCCATCCAGGTTGGGGGAGTCGCGAATCTGAGACAGTAAAATCCCTGGGACTCGGGCCCGATGACTGCGCTGGCGAGAGCCAGGAGCAATTTTAAACGACAGACCCGTCCTCTAGTCAGAGAGGATGTTACATAATGACAACAGCCGCAAGTGTTCAGTTGGAAAAAAAATACTGGTCGTGGGTCTCAATGGGTTTGGCGATAAACCGCCAGTCGAAGAGTAAGTCTGGCTCAGGCAGGCGCATAAACCTATACAAGCGAGTGGAAATGCTGACTTTTTCTTGTTGCCGGAGAACGTCAAACGAAGAGAAGTTTGTAAAGGGAGCATGCGTGAGAACATAATGGCGGGTGTCAAGGGAAAGGTTCTCACATGACTCAGCCTACCTGTATTAAGAAATCTTTATTTTACTGAGTTTGAATCTAAAGCGGCCTCCGTAGTCTAGAGGTAACGTTCCCACCTCATGACTCAAGGTACGCGGGTTCAAACTCGGCGGAGGTCGTGGAATTTTTAAGGGCGGAAAAATTCAGGGAACAAGTCCTCCGGGAAGGACTTTAAGCCGTGGGTCCCGTGTCATAGCTTTACGGCACGTAAAAGAACCTCATGTCTCCAAAGGAGGCCACTGAGCCAAATTAAGGACATTTCCCGCCCAACAGTAGTCTCTAACGCCTCTGGTAGATGGGGGAAGCATTGAGATACCTCTGAGCCAGTAGAGGCCGACCTCGCTGGCTGAGTAGGGACTGATGGTAAGCACCAATACCGGTAGGGTATAGAGGCTGGTAGAAGATTATAAGGGGACGCACAATAGATCAAACTGGTCGCGGTGCATGGGGAAACCCACCACTTCAATAACAACAACAAGTTTGAATCTATATTGAAATATGGTATTACTTTGGGGGGGGGGCTTAAGGACTCTGAAACTGTATTTAAAATACAGAAAAAATGTCTTAAGAGTGATTAAAGGCGTTAATAGCAGAGTATCCTGTAGAAATGTGTTTGGTGAATTTAAGATTTTAACTGTTACCTCATTATAATATATTTGAGATTTTATGTTTTATAATAAAGAATGAGATCCGTACAACTCAGTATTCTGACATTCACAGCTACACGACCCTACATAAACATAATTTGTATGTCCAGTTTTGCAATAACGATCGTTGCAAAAAAAAAAAGGTGTAATTAATATGGGAACTAAAATACTCGCATTTAATGGCCTTCCCCTTGAATTGAAAAGCGTTGTAAATTTTGATGTGTTCAGGAGGAAACTTTTAATTATTTGCTGTTCTCTTCAAGAGTTTCTCAACTAATGTTGGACTGATGACTAGTCTGTTGATTGTCTTCTGGTTTACAATTTGTAATATTGTGTATACGTGTTTTATATTACTGACATTTTTCTTTTGGTCTTATGCGTCTTTTATTGTTATGTACCTCATAACGGTTGTTATATTGTCGTGATAGATCATTGTGTAATTTTATGTTACTTTGACATGCGATGCATTCGCTGTTATTTTTGACATGTCCGATTGTATTCACTTCAGTTATGGACGAAAAAAATTAAGTTGAAATTGGAGTTGAAATGACTTCGTATGGTTCCATATTGCGACCAGTGGCGAGCTCTTGTGAGAACGATATGAACCTTCAGGTTCCATAATTAGCGCGGAAGATCTCGAATACTTATTTAGTTTATTAGTTTTCGAAAAGAGTTCTTCGGGTCGTCATGACACTAGTTCTGTGGGCGTGTTGGCCAAGAAGACCGTCATGTGGTGTCCTTGAGAAGTTAACTGTCAGTGCAAAGAGCTCTGTGGTTACTATGATGATGTGACATGAAACAGGCTGATGCATTAGCCCCGTTGCAAAGCCTCAGTACGGACACGATCTGCACTGCGCCCTCCTTGCCAGGCCACGGCCACCTTCCCATGCCGTTCGGTTTATCGTCGACAATTATCTCTCGATTCTGCATAGGGTACACAGTTGATGTAACGTCGGCGAATGAGCATAAAATATGCAACAGGTTCTGGGAATAACTACTCGCTTAATTTACTTTCACTGCGGTAGTGCTGAGGCACTATGCTACAAGCCGTAAGGTCGCGGGTTCGATTCCCGATGAGGTGACTGGATTTTTCAATGACCTAACCCCTCCAGCCGCACTATGGCCCTGGAGTCGACTCAGCCTCTAACAGAAATGAGTACCAGGAATCTTCCTGGGGATAAAGCGCGGCCGGCGCGTAAGGTGGACAACTTCACCGCCATCTGTGAGCCAATTGTCTAGAAAATGTGGGAACCACGACGTCTCACAACCTTATGGGCCTGCACGGCATGTTACAGGGATAACTTTACCTTGTACCTTTACATACTGAGTATTTGAACGACACGGACCGCATAGAAAACAAAGTTTCTAACAGTTCTTTTATTGCTGTGTGTGTATTTGTTCCCGCGGGAACGTGTTCACCGTACCGTTGTCTAGTAACGGCCATCTCTTATGTCTTCGCTATTCCTGCTTATTAAGGGGCACACACAGGAAGGATATCTCCTAAGGCTTTTATTTTATTTATTTTTTTTCCAAAATGAGGAAAGAGGTTCATCGTGAGCCGTGTTAAGTACAAATTAATATTATAATCTCTAATGGGTTGTCTCTTTTCAGGGACGTCTTAACTCAGGATGCCAGCATTCAGCAGCGAGTGTATGAAACTGACACGAATGCTTGAGAGGGGCAAATTCTGCAGTGCGCACTGAATCTGAGTGTAACCGTGGCACTGCTTCACATTCGCGCAACCAGTTTTCCAGTGCATGAGGTAAGAACCCGAGGTTCCAGCTACAGATCTTATCGAAATACAATTGAATGATGATTAATAGGTCGTGATCATACACGCAAAAACTCACGGACAGTACTGGCTTCACGACTGCATACATTTACTGCTAGGATCGCAGGGCATCCGTGAAATGCTTCGTTACACTTCAGTTTTTTAATGTAAGACACTAGGCAGTCCTCCTTGGACGGGGGGACGAGCCGGTCGCAAGGCCGCTACATGCATGCCTTGAGTGGGATTGGAACCCACGACCCCAGTGTTGGGGCGGGCAGACATTTCATGCCTTAGACCGCGCGGCGCCTGTGATCGGCGCTAAGAATATTATGAAATTTAATTATCGAAAGAATTGAAAACTGAACGCCACTATGAGCTCATGACACTGTAGCGCTGTTCAGTGTAAAGCCAGACGTAATTTTCTTACCACTTCTGCGTGTGGGAGTAACGCTGTCTGCATTAGGTTACTGACCACAACTGCGTGCTTTGCCCCCTCTAGGGATCTGTGACTTACGTCATCACGGAGAGAGCGAGCGAGGTATGCGCTGATGCGCTCTGCAACGCGAAAACACTTTGTGCAGCTAGTTCTGTGCAGAGTGACATAAGTGGCAGTAATTGGGGCCTTGGGCCCACATCATGAGAGTCCGCAAGTCGGCACAATCAAAAGAGAGAGCCCGCTTGTGATTTAAGAAATACATGACATGAGGGACTGTCCAGTTACTCACGGCTTGTGGAGTCAGGACCCGTCCCCTTTTGGGTCGCTACCCGAACCAACTGATGGGTGCGTGCTCTGGCAATAACCGCCCCACCGACCAAGATGTCTCGGTCGGTAACGCTTGTGTATTCGGCAGGTGTCCAGTTCCAACCTCGACCGCAACACCAACCTACGTTCCTCCGAAACGTCGGTTAACACCACATCTACACGGTGCCAAATCCCAGAAGACTGCTTTCTTCATAGTCACCGCCGTGAAAGCCAACTACACCAACTACCCTTGCTAATACAAAGACAAGTCAACTGCGTCCAGTGTGACTATTTAAGTTTTACTACTTGAAAAATTAGCACCCTTACATGTTTCGATCCTCACGGATCATCTTCAGAGGGAACATCAATACTTATTCGGAAACCACTATCACAATAATGTTCTGAGTGCTAAATTACTTACACACACAATAGCAGGAAGGCTGCTGTGATTGTGAAAAATTGGATATTGTGTAATCCAGGCATTGTGTGTGTGTATAATTTAGCACTCAGAACATTGTTGTGATAGTGGTTTCCGAATAAGTATTGATGTTCCCTCTGAAGATGATCCGTGAGGATCGAAACATGTAAGGGTGCTAAGTTTTCAAGTAGTAAAAACTTAAATAGTCACACTGGACGGAGTTGACTTGCCTTTGTAATTGTTACTGTGACGGTCCAGAATGAAACAAATCAAACCCTTGCTAATATTTTAGTGGGTTTCCTCAGTCCAGTTGGCAAATGCCGAGCTGCGGCCACTAACTAGGGCACATCCGCCTCTTTCAATAAAATAAAATAAAATTGCTAATTCTCTCAAAATAAGGAAATGATAAAATGTAAGGAAACGCGAACATTTTCACTGTCAAAATAAGGAACAAATTTTATAAATATTGTCATGTGTATGAGTGACTAGACGGGGTTTGGATTGGTGACTCGATTTATTGCCCATTTATACACTCACGACTTGTAACTACACTTTACAGTTCACTGTTGCACACACACACAGACAGACTAGAGTTCTCGGTCTGTTACAGTCTCTAGTCTTTGCTGTAACCGCACTTCCATCGCTAAAATTATTTAATTGTGGTTATGACCAGTTTATACATTGTTTTCACATCATGAGAGTGTGTACCACGGCGAGGTACCATCCCTGGACCGTCTAATTGTAATTGAACATAGTCCTCCTTATGCTTATGGTGCCACAACTGTCATTAACGTCGCCAGCTTACTCCTAGTGTTATCTTCCGACGAGATAGGCAGGCGATTTTGAGTGATTTGCCATTGTACGAGACCTGCTAGAAGGGGTCTTGAATTGCCTACCCGTGCGCCTTGGAGACCGGCGGGACTGGCGCCTAGCATGACCCTTAGCTCTCTTGTTTTCCATTGATGACCACTTAGGGACATGTGGCTAGGAGTGAGGGGCGCTGGAGTCGGGACACAGGAGGAGATGGAAGGGGAGTGGTGTGTGTATGGCCAGCGAAGTGAGTGAATTGGTGTGAATACAAGTAACAATGACGCCGGCAGGGGTCACTGAGAGGCAGGCTGGAAGGAATACTGTAAAGACTGACACTCCCTGTACGCAAATTTAAATTAAGATAGTAATGCACGGTACAGGTTCTGGAGACCCCGAAGTGTTTCCCTCCCGGTATCCGAAGCCTCAGTATCCCGGGGACTGGGGGCTCGTCTCGAGATAGTCGTGGCATCTGTAGGACAGTGTCGGCTGAACTGCTTGGTAACTTACCTTCCGTGCTCACGTCTTTGCCGGCAGGGAAATATCCCACAACTGAACTAAGCTCAAAGTCAGAGTCACATTGCGACTTACGGTCAGTCAGTCTGGTGTCGAGCCCCATCTGGGGTTCATGACCAGATATTTATTACTGTTTGACAGTTACGGTCTTGTTTCTTGTGGGGGCGCCCTCTCTGACGAGATGACGGGTCTGTCTCTTGTATATGCTGCTGGCCCTTGCCAGTGCAGTCTTTCTCGGGTCTGAGTCCCTTGGGACTCTAGACCATATTTTACTGTCTCAGATTTGAGACTTCCCTTTTCGTCGCCTCCTACGACTCGCAGGGTCACGGTGGAGGTATTCGACCCCGCCTCCACACGGAACTAAGCTCTAAACTTTGTCTCGCTTTTAGCCCCTCGGCACTGACCGACTATAAAACGCTGCTCCTCATTGTTGCATGCGCAGCCATCAGCACGGACCCCCGCAGAAAACACCGCTTTCCAGCCAGTTCACTGGCGCTGGCCGCTGACTACCAACGGTTGTTGTTGTCTCGTTTGTTTCCCGGCAGTTGCCTAGCAACGGGTCTATACGCCACAATATTGCAACTCCGTTCCCTCTCAGTATTCAGTACCATCCTCTAGTTCGCAGCCGCAGGTTCTGAGATGCTTGTAGCGTCATTTCTACAAACGGAGAAAACTAACGCATAAACTAACTCGCTAACAGGTGCATGGTACAACACAGAACCCCATCCTGCGCTGTCCCTTGATGTTCCAACCAACATGCCGTGCGCATAACCTAACTTCAAGGCGCTGCGGAAGCAAATGCTCGCCTCCAACGTGCAACCTGCGCAGGCTCAGTTACTCAACGCAGCTCTGAAATACCCGCACGTCACACAATTGAAGCTGACGTGGGGACTGAAGAGTGATATAATGCGGTGTATTCCTTTGAAAGTCAACCGACGTTTCGGAGGAACACGTCGCCTCGTAGGAAACCCGCGTGAAAGCAGGTGGCAAGCAGATCAGGCGTAGATAGATAGTAATAGATTCCTATGAAAGTGAAATTATACCTGGAATTAGAAATGCATGGTACACAAGTCCCTCGCGACAGATGCCACGTGATTTTATTCAGACCAGTTAACTGCTGCAGGGTGCGACTGAACGAAAAAAAAATGCTGATGTCAGTAAAAATATTTCAGCTTCACATGTGTTATCAGTTTCAGAAGGGGCGCGCGGAAGCGTAGTTGGTTGAGGCACTATGCTACAAGCCGGAAGGTCGCGGGTTCGATACCCGATAAGGTCATCGCTCAGTCGGTATAGCGACTGGCTAAGGGCTCGACGGCCGAGGGGTAGGAGTTCGAGTCCCGGTAGGGATAAGATATTTCTCTTCTCCACGACGTTCAGACCGGTTCTGGAGGCCCACCCAACTTCTTATCTAATGGGTACCGGGGGCAAAGCGGCTGAGGCTTGAAGCTAACCACTCATATGCAGCTGGTGCCGAGGTCAAGAAAACGTGGGTTTATACATCAACTCCCCCATACGCCTTCATGGCGTAGCGCTTAATTAATTAAGCACAGAGATAACTTTACCTCTACTACTACTACTAATAATAATAATAATAATGTGTTTTATGCAGTGGTACTAACTTCGCCGACAAGCGGCGGTCGCTCGGTCGGTATAGTTCCCTTTCGGACTACAGACCACGGAGTTAGTGCAGCTTATTGGTTGTTTCCTATATAATGACAGTTTATCATGCGCATGCGTAATGGATTGCAGAGAATTCATGAATGGGGAAGGCCACCGTATTTTTGCTTACTGTTTTACCATGTTCTTGGCGGGTCCAGGGAAAACCAAGAATACCCTCGGTTCGGCCGGCCTTTAGTCACAGAACTGAGTCCTAGGTTAGCCACTGAAGCTGGACACGAACTGAGCCACTTTTGTGCCTAGGGAACGAGGCAGGTTTACATTCGTATGGCGGGGCCTGCTGCGGTCCATTAGCGCCTGCCGTCTGTCAGCCCGCTGCTGTGAACGCGCCAGTGTGCCAGGCGAACTCGAGTGTTTGTTGTTACTGCTAATGCGATCTCTGTCATGTAGAAGGCAACGTCTCCCTGGGAAAGAGAAGGCTAGGAAGACCAAGACGTAGGTGGGAAGATAATATGAAAATTGATCTTAGAGAGACAGGATGGGGAGGTAAGGCTGAATTTCTCTGTAGTTTCTAAAGGCTTCTGACGATGGTGTATAACACTCAGAATTACTGGGTTTTTGGACTAGAAACTAGAGAACACGACGTTTCGGAAACTGGATCTGTTTCCGTCCTCGGGTGACGGGGTGGGGGACACGTACTCTGTTGGGTCCCTCAGAAAGACCTAACCTCATTCACGGAACAACCCCTGTCAGATTCACCACAGCTATTTAATTACCTGAGACCAGCTAATTCGGAGGGAGGTAACAGGAGATTTTGCATTAAAGACTGTGATAAATCACGAACCTTCCAGGAACTAGGATACAAAGGAAGGTATACATTTATGTTGCATA